CCACCCCACACCCTATACCCATACCCATCTCCTAAACTATTGGTCTGGGGCCATTGGGAATACTTTTAATGAACTCCCCAGGGTCTAATTAGTCGAATTAAGTGAATAGATGAGGGGGGGTCGATAAGTGTATTTGTCCCTTTTCTATCACTTGATTTCTATTGGTTACCCCTCAACCAATAGGATTTCGAGGTGAGTGGAGTACAGATTCGAGTTCTCCAGCTCAGAAAATCTCAAAGTTTCATTTCTGTGATCAGAAGATTGAGCTCTATTTGTGGATCAATTAGAGCGTGGACGAAAACAGAACCTATTTCCATTTGATTATCTTGGCAATATGTGAGTTAGCCTTCGTGTTTCTTTATGTTTCATATACCATTTTGTAGCTCGTGAAATTCTCTATCGAATGGTATATAATAGTTGGAGTTTTATTTGATTATGATAGTAAAAGTTTTCTACGAAAGTGAGAATAGATCGATTTTCCTATAGGAAGCCATAGGAAAAAATGACTATTTTTGTAATAACTCAGGAACGGCTCGGCCAATCATGCTCATCTTTGAACTCGACCGAGATATTGTTAAGACTGAACTGTGTAGAAAATTTCATCGCAATCGGACTCTCCTTTCAAAAGTTATCGTGTAAACGGACGAACGGACGGACACACTGACCGATTCTAGAGTGTACTCACTTTTTGAGTACACAAAAAGCGAAAGAAAAGAAAATAATGAGAAAGAAGAAGAAAGTCGATAGGAAAAACAAAGAGAAGCACAGAAACTATGCGCGCTAGTGTTACAGTTCAACATACTCAAAGATCCGTGTTTTTTTGTTTGAAACTACAGAAAAAAAATGATGCTTTATCTAACAGGAATCGTGCATGCAAGGAACGGAAACTGTTATTCTGAAAAACACAACGAATAGTATCGATATGGCGGTACTCATCGTTTCTCTTTTTCTTCTTGTCATTCTTTCACATGAACACAAAAACAGTAGGACAACCAGATAATTGAGTCAACGTTGTAACAATTATCGTCAACATTGCCAGTAGTTCTACGAGAGGAGCACAAAAAAATGTTACCGTGAGTGAGTCCTCTTTATTGATGTTGAATACTGATTGACATATATAGTGTGACCGAGAGGCAGAGTCTATAGTAAATTTTTTATATTCATCTACTTACTCTATTCGAGCGGTTTTTTCTTTTTCCGGCATCTAATTAGTTCATGAATTCTTCTTTTTTCATCAAATATTCAATTGGCTGCAACTAAGACAATCGGAATATCAGACATGAGATTTATATTGGGTCATTTCAAGTTTGTTTGTTTTTTTTGTTGACTTCATTGCTGACCTTTACGCTGTCGATTTACTGTCATAATAGTAAAATATAATATTTTTTTTCTTAGCGCATACACAAGGAAAAACACAAGTTTACTTCCTTTCATTAATGTTTTTGTTGAGAAAAATAGCTTTAGATCCGTTTAGTAATCAAACATGTAGTTGCTTTACAAGCTAGATCGTAAAAATATACATAACACGCAAACCGAAACAGAAATCTGCTATAACTCAAGCATCATCAGTTGTAACACGCTAAATTACATGTGATTTGAGAATGTCAGACGTTTACATTTCGATTGAATATTATTCAATTGAGATTTTCGAACAATATCAGATTAATCTTGCGTTATCAATTTTTCTGTAGGGTTTCACTATGAGTCATACTGATTCTTTATTTTATTGTAAAATTCTTCGTACTTCTCAATTGAGTTTTTCTATGATTTTGAATCTTACTTTGTGCTCCTTTTTGAATGAAACTATCGTTGTTTTAGATTGTAATTAAAATACTATGGCTGACAATGTTACGTTACACGACAGCCTTGCTATCAATATTCCACTCAGATCTCATCACGAAACTGAAATAAAAAATGATAGCGAACCACCTGTCTATCAAAATCTACAACTTAATTTTAATGGTGAATGGAAGGATCGCGGCTTTGCTATTGTGTTCTGGATTCATATTACTGTCGTCGTTGTCGTTGGTTTAGTTTTAGGCGTACCGACTCTACTTTCGAATACGCCACAAATTTCACTGGGTCAAGGGAAACAAATATCTTCTGAATTCGCCATTGAACCTTTTGTGTACTCATTGAGTGGTACAGCAGCTGTCTGTGGATCACTTTCTTTTCTCATAATATTCGCTCTTCAACTCTGCGCTGGTCAACTTATCAAATGTTCATTTTTTATACTTATTATCATGCAAATTTTGATGGCAATGGCCTTTTATTTCGTAGAACCACTTTTGTGCTTCATACCAGGAGCGTTTTTATTGATCACTTTGATTTATATATCGTGTGTTAGAAAACGTATCGCTTTTGCTGAAGTGCATTTACAAGCAGGATGTGCTGCGTTACGTAGTCACCTCTCGTTGGTATTAGTACTACTAGTCATGCTCATTGTAGAATTCATGTGGTTTGTCTTCTGGTGTCTGATGCTAGTGGGTGTTACAGGTGTCATATTTACTAATGCAGACAAGAATTCGACTTCTAATATTGGAGTATGGTGGTATTGGTTGATTGGTAAAATCGTTTTATTTCTCTTATTATTATCATTGTATTGGGGTGCAGTTACATTTGGAAATATTATTCATTTCATAACAGCATGTACTGTTGGTGATTGGTGGTTTACTATTGATGGTAGTGGAAACTACGGAATGGTCAATAGTATTAAGAGAGCATTTACGACAAACCTAGGAACGATTTGTTTTGGATCACTTTTTGAAACTATAATAAAAACTTTACGGTTTTTTGCACGTGATGGACGTCGAAATAATATATTAACCTGCATTATTGACTGTATTCTTCAAACGATCGAAAAATTAGTTGGCTATCTGAATGAATGGGCATTTACTTTTGCAGCACTTACTGGTGAAGGTTTTGTTCAAGCTAGTCGAAGTTTTATAGAACTGTTTAAAAAACGTGGCTGGACGGCAATCATCAACGATAGTATTATTGAAACTACATTCATGATTATCAATCTTGGAATAGGTCTCATAACAGCTATCACTGGTACCTGTATTACCCATAATATGATGACTGAATCGGCGGAAAAAATTGGATTTGTAGTGATTATAGCTTTTATTAGTTTTTTAATTGGTATATTTATGAGTTCAATCATCACAACACTTTTGAAATCATGTGTACGTACAGTATTTGTTTGCTTTGCTCTTCATCCAGCAGCATTAGGCGCGACACATCCTGACTATTTGCAAAAGTTAACCAAAGTTTGGCACAAGTTCTATCCAGAAGAATTTGCCAACAGCGGTTATGCTAATGAATTTAAGGAGCCAATCGTTTAGTTAGAACATCGATAATAGTAAACGTCGATGAAGATTCTTTAAGACTTATTCAATTATGTTTTCTTCGTTGTTCGCTTGTATTTTTATGCTTTGATGTTTGCTCATGAATAACCATTACTATTTTAAATAGAGTAGCTAGTTTTCTTTTTGTTGTCAATTTATATTATCTTTCCAATAGCTATTGGAATAATAAATAACTGTCAGAAAATGATAGTCTTAATATCAATTTAGAATAAGATTGCAGAGGAATTTTTTGTTGCACTTATTCTGAGCTAAATTGTTTAACATGAGTCGGGTGTGAGTATGAATTAGGGGTGTCACTTTATCTTTATGATACTTTGAAAAAGTAAAGTAAAGCAAAGATAAAGTGATACCCCTAGTGTGAATCAGGAGAGAATTCACAACACACACACCCTCTA